AGGAGGAAGAGGAGGAGGAGGAGGAGAAGGAAGAGACAAGTGCTGTACTAACTCCAGCTCCTAAGAGGAAAAATCAAAGTGCCACCTAGAACTGCTTATAGCACCATCTCTGTTCTAAAACGACTGGGTCTCTAAGCTGCCAGATAACAAGTACACACGTACATTTGTTTTCTATTTTTGTCAAGGGCTAAAAGGAATAACACTGACTTACACAGTCTCAGTTGAAAACCTTCTCGGCTACTAATGCTGATTATCTTCTGAACAACTGTCCATTTGCATCAGTGAAGCAAAAAATTACCAGATATGTAAAAATACTCAGCAGTTTAAATGGAGCATTCAGAGCAAATGACCCTCGTCGGAGAGCCACTTAATAGAGAGCTTTCCCCACCATCTCTGTTTCCTGTGTTAACTATAATTCTTGCTCTTACATTGCACTGATAGCAGGTTGTTATGGAAAGGAAAGGATAGTTGAACAATTCCAGAAGATAAAGATATGATCACACCATGAAAACACTCTCAGTGGAACACAAGTATGGAGGAGTCCACTTAGCTACCATATTGATTTGTACTTCCCATTTCCCTCGAGTGTTCTTTTCCCAGACACAAGCCTGGCTCACTTGCTTTTGAATAAAGGATTCTGAATAAATGGCAGCTTCTACGTAAGAGGAAAGTAAGAGAGAGAGAGGGAGGGAGGGAGGGAGGAAGAGAGAGATGGAGGAAAGGAGAGAAAAGAAAAGAAAAAAAAGACAAAAAAGAAAGCTGGGCACTGGTGACTCAAGCCTGTAATCCTAGCTACTCAGGGAGGCTGAGATCTGAGGATTATGGTTTAAAGACAGCCCAGCCCAGGCAGGAATGTTGATGAGACTCTTATTTCCAATTAACTTTCCCTAAACCAGAAATGGAGCTGTGGCTCAAGGTGGTAGAGTGCTAGCCTTGAGCACCAAAGCTCAGAGATAGCACGCAGGCCCTAAGTTCCAGCCCCACAATCGACAAAAAGAAAAGGGGCTGGGAAGGTAGCTCCGTGGTAGAGCGCTTGCCTTGCATGCTCGAGGCACATAAGCAAAATGAAAAAAGCCAGAAGTGGCGCTGTGGCTCAAGTGGTAGAGCGCTAGCCTTGAGCTGAAGAGCTGAGGGACAGCGCCCAGGCCCAGAGTTCAGGCCCCACTACTGAACCCAAAAAAAAGAAAAAAGAAAAAAAGAAAAGAAAAGAAGAGAGATGGCAGAAAGCCTCCTTCTCCATCATAAAAAACTAAAAATTAAAAAACCCCACATTGACAGGGCCAAAGGGCACACAGAGTCCATTTGATCCACAAGATCAATAAAGCAGCCTTGGACTGTGACATGAAGTAATAATGATATAAGTATCAAAGGGATGCATGGGAGGAAGCAAATATTCCATGCATAAGAATTACCATGAATATGACAGAAGTACTCAGTCCTACTTGAGGTGGACATCTCTCTCTAAATACCTAAATATAGCTGTTACAAAATGATGGGATTTTTCCCCAAAAGAGCACAGTATAGAAAAGAGGGGGAAAATATTTATCTTAGAGTAGAGCAATCTATCAAAAACTGCCTCAGACTTAGGATCAAGGTAATATCAAAGGTGATAAAATCCTGTTGACGATATGTAATTCGGATAGGATGTGAATAAAATACACTTTATTCTGGTGGTCTTCTTCCTCAAACCCATATGGCCAATATAACCAAATGAAAAACACAATAGGCAAATCCCACCTGAAGAGCATCCACACAAGGCTTGAGAAGTATCACCTAAAACCAGCAACATCATCAAACCCAGGAACGTCCGGGAGATGACCGCTTCTGAGAAGAATTCAATGAGATACAGTGGCTAAATGTAATGCGACACCCTGGATGGAATCCAAAACAGGAAAAGGACATTGGGTAAGGTATATACCTCCACAACTAATAGTACACTAATATTGGTTCACTAATGGCAGCAAATGCACCCTTATTAATATATGATACTAATGCCAGAGGCAACTAGAGGTAGGTATATGGTAGTGAGAACTATCTATATCATCTTCACAGGTTTTTTTTGTCTTGTTTTGTTTTGGGGGGAAATCTAGAAGTCTGCTTAGGAGAGATCTGAGAGGGAAAAAGTCCAGGATGCCTGTTGGAAATCCACCCTCCTCTGGAGAGAAGTATATCAAGAAGGTCTTACTTACCCCATCATACATGGTTAAGAAATGCTGATCTAGAAGTGACTATTTGATTAATGCTCGAGGCCCATCCTGAGTGGTTATCTCTGGATCTAAAGTTTAAAAAAAAATGCAGGCTGGGTTTTACTTAGAAATTTAGTAGTTTAAAAAAAAATTCTGGGCATTTTCGGCTGTAGCTTCCTAGAACTAATAACCATTCAGTTATATTCCTATAGAAATCATCCATGACACATGAGCTTTTTTTTTTTTTAAATCACAAAACAATTGTGTCAGACTTTATCTCTGGCCCCAAATAAATGGTGGCTTAGGATCTTTTGTCATTTATTGTGAAATGCATTATCTCTTTTGAATCTTGGCTTTCTTAATATGTCACGTCGGTGGGTAATTTCTAAGCGGGGTGGATTTCTCTGGGAGCTTATTTGCATGCGGGCCTTTTGATACTGAGAAAATCCTAGAAGCTAAAAACCTCACCAGTTGTAGACTGCTTAGATAGAAATCTGCTGGTTTCATGGTGTTTTGAACTACAGAGCCTCTGGTTTTTATTTTGCTCTGTTTCCTGACTTGAATGGGTGGGGAAGAGGGAAAGGGTTATGAAGAAAACCCTCACCCTGGCTCCCAGCGGGAGTTCCCGGGCTCATACTGGCTTTCCTGGGGAGATAGAGAAGGAGAAGAGACTTGACTGTGCCTCAAGTCGGCCCAGAATGAGAATGGGAGGTTCTCCTTGGGTCCACTGTGAGTTCATTCTTCAAAGGCTGTTCCTGCCTGCGATCTTCCAGCTTCGTCCGCTTTTTGTGTGTTAATGATCTCTCTGGGTACCATGCACCGGTCATTTCCTAAAGAGTACGAATCTGATCATGATTTGCAAAATTAAGTGTATGGGTTATTTATTCATTAAAAAAAAAAAAACTAGGGGCTGCGAAGGTGGCTCAGTGGTAGAGCGCTTGCCTTGCATGCCTGAGGCCCTGGGTTCGATTCCTCAGCACCACATAAGCAAAAAGAAAAAAAAACTATCTTTAAGTAGTTTTCTAAAAGAGTTACCAGCACTTGCTACCCTGGGAGTAAGGTAATGAACAGGAGACGCTGTATGGGATAGATTCGTGTGGAATCTAACTCCAGGCAAGGAAGAAGGCATCCATATGTAGACGAGCTTGGAATCACTGTTCCTGAACTACCGATCTCTTTGAAGAAAGCCATGTGTATTTGGACAGAAACGGTATCAAATCTGTTAATCCCTTTGGGAAGCATAGATATTTTCATACGAATTCTCCCAGCTTGTGAACATGAGCAATTCTTCTCTACTTACCTACCTTCTTCGATGTCTTCCATCAGTATTTTGTAATTTCCGCCTAAGAGGTCATCACCTCCTGACTGAGTTCTTTCTAGGCTGCTCCTTTTTTCTTTTGAGGAAGAGGTCTCACTATGCTGTCCAGGCTGGCTTTGAATTCCAGCACCGATTCTTCTGTCTCAGCCTTCTGAGCAGCTGGGATGACAGGTGTACTCTGCGGTACTCTTACTCCAAAGCATTTTATGTTATTCCTGTCACTGTTGCGGATGGGATGGTTTGTTCTCATGATCTGTTTCTCTGCGGTCTCATTCCTAGTATATAAAAATGCCACCGATTTCCATATGTTGATCCTTGCCTCCTCAAATTTATTTAGCAATTCCAGTCACCTTCTGGTGACGTCATCAATAAGAAAAGGTCATTTTACTTTCTCCCTTCATATTTGTATGTCCTTCCTTCCCTTTCCCTCCCTCAAAAAAAAGCTGAAAGCTATGGCCTCCTGTTGCTCAACTTTGGGAAAATGATTTGCTTCTCCGTGCCTCAGTTTCTCCAGCTATAAAACACTGACAATAATGATCCTACATAGAGGTCCCCGATGAACTTACTTCCTGATTTAAAGTAACAGAGTCACACCAAAGCACCCAGAAGCCAAAAGGGAGACTGCATTTGAAGAGTTAGAAAAGGCAGGTGCCAAATATGATTTCACCTGGTGGTACTACTCAGTTGATATAAAGCGCACGGAACGGTGAATGGCATGTAGTAAGTGCTCAATAAACAAGAGGCACACTCCCGTTTTAAGCGCCGAGCCTCCACTTGTGTTATACAATGCTCCCTCTGGAAGGCCTCTAGAGAGACGGGGAACCTTGGAGGAGATTATAATCCACACCTGTGAGGCCTTCTGACGCTTGCATTCCACCCAGGTGGAGGAGGGGTTTGTTCCTGGGCACAAGAGACAATTACAGATTCCTTCACTCAGCACTGAGACTGCAATCACTCAAGGAAAACCCCCATCAGGTCCAGTCACTGGACCTTCCTGCTCTGTCTCGACCCCCCCCTCTCCCCCATCCCTTGGCTGTACCCTCTTCCCCCCATGCATTACAGCACCCAGGACTGGTGATTCAGTCAACACAAGGGAAAACACAGATCTGGGCTTTTTCATAGAAAAGCATGCTAACTTTCACAACCAGAATCCCTGCTTTTAGTTTTTTTTTTTTTAATTATGTGGGGTTTTTTTTTAATCTTTAATTTTTCTTCAGCATCTCACAACTCAACTTTTGCATCTTTTCTGGGGAATGTTATTTCCTGGCACCACACAGCTTCGGTCAAGTGACTCAGTATGATTTGGGTGTGCGTGTGTGTTTAATTTTTCATATCAAGTGGCCCCAACTTACAGGGAAAAAGTGGGCCAGGGTATCAGTTTGATAATGGGGTTTCCCGCCCCCTCCCGCCCCCCCAACCCACCCTGTTTGAAGGATCTTTAAATATAACTAGACTGGAAGGTGTCTGCAGGTCTTAGTTCCAGTGTCCTGTCGAAGATGCTTCTGGCTGTGGTCCTAACCTCTACTCTGCTCTCCCTCTGCTCCACAGAGGCCCAAAGATGCTCTTCCTCGATAGCAATCTTCAATGTTGATTTCCTGATCGAAAAGCTGCAGGTAGGCTCGGGGGCTGTAGGGAAATAGATCTGGGAGGGGGGAATGAAATGTGCCACTCACGGCGGCTTTTCGCCTCTCTGCCTTTAGAAAGATCCGTCCTCCACCTGCAGCTGCAGCGCCAACGTGAGTAAACGTTGGGAGACATCCTAGCGGGGTCTGGGGGTTCGCAGCTAGAGTGTTCACACTGAGATTTGTTTCTTGCAGGTGACCAGTTGTTTGTGTCTGCCCATCCCTCCTGTAAGTAAGAAAAAGAAAACTATCAACGGCTCTATTCCATATTTTACATTAGGGATCGTGACTCAACTGCAATTGTTACAGATCACTAATCCCCTGTATAACCTGGCTCTGGAAGTTTTCTACTGGGTAGACATTTCTCAGCAGTGAGCATTAGAACCCTTGAAGACTCTGAGGGTGTTTTAGTATCTTTAATATTTATATATTATATAGCATATATATCATATATATGGGTATCTTTTACAATGAATGGCCACACATATGATGAAATACAACTAGAATTAATATAGTAAATGCCTTCTAAGGAATATAGTAAGTGATATGATATTGCTTTCTAATGCATATGTAGAAAAATTGGATGAAGTAATATAAATAAAATAGTAACTCTGTCTTTGATGTGCCAAAACTTTGTAGGTACTGTACCTCACTTGCTTCCCTCCCTTCCCTACCTTCCTTCCTTTCCTTCCTTCCTTCCTGCCCTCCCCCCTCCCTTCTTCTTTCCCTCCCTCCCTCCTCCTCTTATTCCCATCCTTAAGATGATTTTTTTGTTTTTGGCCAGTGGTGGGGCTTGAACTCTGGGCCTGGGGGCTGTCCCTGAGCACTTCAGCTCAAGGTGAGTACTCTACCACTTGAGGCACAGCGCCACTTCTGGTTCGTGGGAGATAAGAGTCTCACAGACTTTCCTGCCTGGGCTGGCTTTGAACTGTGATCCTCAGATCTCAGCCTCCTGAGTAGCTAGAATGACAGGCGTAAGCCACCGGCCTCTGGCTCTTAAGATGGTTTTCTTATGGCTGCTGCAGAGGACAGAGAGCCCTTGTGGTTGTGTTGGGGGAGGGGAGGGAGAAGGAAGGGACTCTGGGAGAGAAGAGCCCTCGCTCTGGCAGGGACGTCCTCTCAGCCAGAGCTAAACGCCCCCCAGTGGAGGTCCGCTGTCATACCATCCTCAGTTAGATGAGGAGGGGAGGGGATCCTGCATGGACAGCCTGTCCTAGCCTGGCCCCGCCCCCCCCCCCCCCTCCACTGCAGCTACACTGGCACACCTGCCACAATCCAAGTGCGCACCCTAGCGGCTGGTGCCCAGAGCCTCTCCCTTTCTCTAAACTTTCAAACTCACTGTGACTAGATTTTGGAGTAGGGGCACCATTGGAAAAGAGATAAGGAATGCCAATTTGCCAGGGTTCTCAGGTTTCTTGGATGGGATGGGTTGGAAATCTCCAGAAATGAAAAGTGACCTCACCTTGAAATCCTTGAAAGCTCATTTCCTAGATTGGCAAGGGACCTATCAAAAAAATAGCACAAGGGGCTGGGAAGGTGGCTCAGTGGTAGAGCGCTCATCTAACGTGCATGAAGCCCTGGGTTTATTTCCTCAGTACCACATACATAGAAAAAGCCAGGAGTGGCGCTGTGGCTCAAGTGGTAGAGTGCTAGCCTTGAGTAAAAGAAGCTCAGGGACAGTGCCTAGGCCCTGAGTTCAAGCCCCAGGACCGGCAAACAAATAAATAGTGCAAGGTCATTTGGGTCCAAAGTAAAGGCCATTCTCTCTCGTGATCCCTGCCGAAAGCTATCCTGAGAGTGTTTCCTTTTTAAATAAATCTTTATTCTTTACCAGGACAACTGTCCAACACCCTGTCTCCGGGAGGGGCTGTCCCAGCTGATCAACGTCACCCAGAAAACAGATAGAAAACAGATTTTCTATCGAGTGAGAAAGGTAGTTGAAGTTCTAAAGTACAACAAGTGTCCGGTGAGTTTATATGAGTTTATATGTCATGGTGAGGGTTTTATGTGGCTGTTAAACAATAGAATCAAAATGGAATCCACCAGATATTCCATTGCTCTCTGTAGTTAAAAAAAAATGCTGACACAGATGAGGCCATGTTCTTCTCTCTGTTTATTGGAGAATGAAAGAATCCATCCTGATTGTCAAGAGAAGGTGTAATCAAGAAAATCAGGCCTGTGTGCCACACAATACTCAATTATCCTAAAGATTCAATTTACTAACAAGACGGATATGCTGGCCTCTATGCTAAAGCAGATTTCTTTTTTGTTTTGATTGGTTGAAAAAGGTGTTTGTTTGTTTGTTTTTAAGGACGTGCACCCACATGGGAGTGGACATTGCCATGCGATGTGGGGTGGGGGCTGGGCATCTCTTAAGTCCCTGTCATGAGCATCTGTAGGAAAGTGCAGAAGGCAGGAAGCCCAGCACTTGGCCACTGAGCTACGCTGGAGGACATATGGTTCTAAATGCTCTCCTTGTGTGAGGAGGAGGAGGAGGAGAGGGAAGCTCAGGGAAGCCCTCGAATTTACCTGATGCAGTCTACGTGATAAGTGGCAAAGTGGAGCTTGAACTTGGATCTGGTGACTCCCAGGTTCACTGTGATAATGAAATGACCTTGGAAGGACCAGTCAAAAGAATCATGAGGCATTGTAGTCCTCGAGGTGGCCTCTAACTGGATACAGGGAGGGTCTTAGGGCCACCTGATTGGTGCCCATGTGTGTACGTCAACCATGTCAGCCACTTAGATTCTATCAAGTGCCCACCAGCCCCGGCCTCTCATTGATTTACTGTGGGTCTCAGGACTGGAACCCCCAGGTTCTAGGCAGGGGGGAGGGTCCCAAGCCTCTTGATCCCACAAGGCTTTTTGCCAACTTTGGCCCAACTTTTTTTTTTTTCTTTTTATCTCTACAGTCATTTTCCTGTGAACAGCCGTGCAACCAAACCATGGCTGGTAACACCATGACATTTCTGAGGACACTCCGGGGAACCTTCCAGAAAGCCACGGGAGCCATAGGAGGCCAAATGTGAAGAAATAATGCTATTTATCCTATTTATTAAAATTTAAAGGCCTTCTTTTAAGTTGTTGTGAATTTAAAAAAAACAAAACAATGAAGCGAGCAAGCTCTTCTAAATCAAAATCTGTTGTGACTATTTGTTTGGAATTTTTACGTCTTGACTTTGGAATAAATACATGTGAGGGGGGAAAAAGAAAAGAACATAAGCCGCTTCCTATTTATTCCTTGCTGAGCAGAATAAAGGCAGCTAGAAACTTTAACAAGGGACAAAAATAGATCAAAGACTCTATTATTTAAAACAAACAAACAAGCCAGGCATCAGTGGCTCATGCCTGTCATCCTAGCTACTCAGGAGGCTGAGATCTGAGAATCATGGTTCAAAGCCAGCCCAGGCAGGAAAGTTGGTGAGACTCTGATCTCCCATGAACCACCAGAAAACCAGAAGTGGCGTTGTGGCTCAAGTGGTAGAGCGCTCGCCTTGAGCTGAAGAGCTGAGGGACAGTGCCCAGGCCCAGAGTTCAAGCCCCACGACCAACACACACACATACACACTCACACACACACTCTTGCCTGAAGGCCCTGACCCCTGGCTGGGCAGTAGGCACAGTTAGGAAGGCTCACTAGGGGGCAAAGTCTGAAGTCCAGCCATGAGGAGAGGCACAGGGCACTGTGGACACAGTAGGCAAGAGTGCGGAGTTCAGTGCTGAGCTGGAGAACTGGCATCCAGCAGGCCCTTTGCCTAGGATCCCGAAGCCCGAGAAACCCTGGGATCCACGCTGTCCAATCACCAGCAAGCTCTTCAGTGAGTGCTTCTCCTGTGTCAGCACGGGCCACAGCAGGCCTCCATCCTGGCCTTGGTTCCACTGTGCGCCCTGTGTGGGCTCCCCGCCCCCATCTCTTTGCTTCCAGGGCAGATTACCTGTGTGGTTCTGCGGTGTGTTCCAAGTACCCTCTTGGGGCTGGCGTAGGGCAGGTGCTCGGTGAGCCTGGACCACCTGGATGGAAGGCCTAAGAGGTGTGGGCATGCGATGGAGATGCTCAACGGGGTCCAGATATTGGTATCTAGATGGGGCCTGGCTACGCCTGGAAGAGAAACAGGGCTAGAGCACACCGCAGCTGCCTTCCCCATACCGGGAGGGAAGCTGCCAACCTCCTCTTTGGCCTTCCCAGCCCTGTGGTGGGCAGGTGGAGGCAGGGTCAAGGCAGGAGGTAAAGGAGTCTGGCCGTGGAATAGCCCTCACCCCAACATCTGGGGCTTTATTTATTTGTTTTGTTGGTTGTGGGGCCTGAACTCTGGGCCTGGGCACCGTCCCTCAGCTCTTCAGCTCAAGGCGAATGCTCTACCACTTGAGCCACAGCACCACTTCCAGTTTTCTAGTGGTTTATTGAAGATACGGATCTCACAGACTTTCCTTGCCTGGGCTGGCTTTGAACTGTGATCCTCAGATCTCAGCCTCCTGAGTAGTTGGGATGACAGGCGTGAGCCACTGGCTTTAGAGGCATGGAACGAATAGCAGAGGCCTTGTTTATTACTTCGTTCATTTTTGCATAGCTGGGGATGGAACCCAGGGCCTTGTTCCTAACAAGACAGGTGCTCTACCAGCGAGCTACCTCCCCAGCCCCAGAAATGAGAGGCTTCTCAAAGGATGCTATCTTTTTGTAGCAAAACCTGCTTTGGAGATACCGAGATTCCAGTTGCTTTCCCTCCCGGGTATTCTAGCCTGTCCCTGGCTACTTCTCCTGCCAATGGTTTGGAAATCTCAGGGCCTCCAGAGACAGAGACCCTCAAAGGGCTTTGTCCTTCATTTGGACTCACCTGTCCTGCAGACAGTCCTCGGCCCGCGTCGAGGTGCACGGACCATGGGATGCAGTTGTGCAGCTCTTTCGGCGATGAGGTGAGCATCCATCTGTTCTCTCCTCGTCGCCATATCCATGCTGCCAAAACAGGGGTGACAGAGATGGGGACTTAGCCAAGGGGTCCAAGGAACTAAGTCTGAGGAAGGTCTTATTATCTGGGTGCAGAAATTAGGAGGGCCTGGAGAGGCAATCATAAAGGGGTAGGTCTGGTGGATGGTGTTGGGGTTTGAACTCCATGCCTAATGCTCGTGAAGAAGGTGCTCTACCACGAAGTCATGAGCCCAGCCCTTCCCCCCTTTTTTTAGCACCCATCCAGGTGCTCACCCGGATAGACCACGATGTGGCTGTTTCAGGCTTCCTGTTGAAGCTGGGAGAAGAGACGCATTTTCAGTTAGTTCTGGAGACACAGATCAAAGAGCAACACATTGGTTTTCTCAGTGAAGGGTCCTCTGCTGTCACATTTTGTCCTCTCTCTGCGGCCACCTGACATTTTTCTTTTGGGGGGAAGGTAGGGATTCAGAGGGTCACCCCACCAACCCACCGCTGACCCGTCTGCTTCCCCCGGGGGAGGGGCAGGTCGGGCTGGGCTAGACGCAGCCCCTCCCATCCCCGTGGGAAGAAGGATTCGGGTTTCCACGCTCATGAGCAGATTCCAAAATCTCCCATCGTTTTTTGTTCCTGGGGACGTAAAAAGCTCTAGCAAATAAAGCGTTTCTATTCACCGGCATCTAGCACTTAATGTTTAAGCACTGACGGTAGATATTAAACAGACAGTCCCTCATTTCATGTCCTAGGAATGACAGGAAGCGGATATTATTTTTATTTATTCATTTATTTATTTACTTTTGTCAGTCATGGGGCTTGAACTCTGGGCCTGGGCGCTGTCCCTCAGCTCTTCAGCTCAAGGCTAGCACTCTACCACTTGAGCCACAGTGCCACTTC